AGCCGCGGCGGGCGGGGAGCGGCTGAAGGAGAGGAGGGGCGAGTCTTGCAGCTTCATGGACGACACTTCGAGCTTCTCCTGCCGCCGCCACTTGGCCCGTCGGTTCTGGAACCACACCTGCGGAGGGCAGCACAGCGGCCGTCGGGCTGCGGCGGAGGCTCGGGCCGCGCCCCCGCCCTGCTCCCGGGGCAGCCCGGCCGGGACGACTCTCTCACCCCCAAAGAAAACTGCGGCTGCACTGTTTCGCACCACCTCCCCACCCCTACTTTCTCCTTTCTTTTCCACCCCGTTTTCTCCTTTTTGCCTCTTCCCTCCTCTCGTTTTTGGAAAGCAGATGTCACCAAATTTCGGGGACCTGCTGGTTGTCAGCTCCTCCTGGCACCTCGGTTTAGCAGTTGCTTCCTCTCTCTATGGTCCTGCTCTCACTGACTGTTGTTTGGGCTCAGACTCTCTCTTTTTTTTTTAATTAAAAAAAATATTTTATTCATTTATTTGGGAGAGAGAGAGCACAAGCAGGGGGAGCGGCGGGCAGAAGCAGGCTCCCGGCTGAGCAGGGAGCCCAACGCGGGGCTCCATCCCAGGACCCCGGGATCATGACCTGAGCGGAAGGCAGGCGCCCCCAGTTTCTGTGCTTTGCCTACCTTTTGTCTCTATTATAAACATATTTATAAACAGGGGCGCCTGGGTGGCTCAGTTGGTTAAACATATATATAAACAAATACTCCAAGTACCCTAAGTGGCAGCACTGGATGTTAAAATACAGCTATTTCCAGGAATTACTGGTTATGATAACTAGTAGAAAAAAGTGGTTTTATTTTATCCCAAGCTTATTTGAGTTGCTGCTTTAATAAGATCTTCATTCTTCTTTAACTGATATCCCTTTAGTATTTCTGATATTTCTTATAAATGGCTTTCAATGATTACAGTCATTTGTTTATTATATTTACCTTGAATTTTTTGGAGTCAATTTTGACATTAAGATAAGTTCAATGAATTCAATTTTTCTTTCTTTCTTTTTTCCCCCCTTTACATATAGAAAGTCTGCACCAAGAATGAAGTCTGGTTTCTTAATGATAAAACGTCCATTACTGATTTGGTAAAAGCCCAAGAAAGGGTGTAATTAGGGTTTCACTACCAAGTTCCTACCCCTGGAAACAGAACAGAGAGAACTGGTCTAGTTTGGTAGAGAATCTGAAAGAACTTTGGCCAAAGCGGTGGCTTCCTTTAATGGAAGGAAATAGGGGAATAGCTGAGACCTTAGAAGGGTAATGTATGTAATGCTAGGATTTGGGGGGAGGGGGAGGAAGAAAAAGAACAGAAAAGTTAGGTACCCTTGTCCCCTTCCACAAAAGATTCATCTCCATAGCTGGGGCCCTAATTTCCCCCAGAAACATTAGATATTTGCCGATAATAGAGAAAAGAGAAACATCAGCTTGGGGAGGGCTCCCATCCCACCCCTTCCTCCAATTCCATGCATGTCCCACTCTGGCCCCCCCAAATATCGGCTACTGCCTTCCACCCAGTATTCAAAGTCAGAGAGCTGAAGACTGGGATAGTCTACTCTTAGAGGGCTGTACTGCTGCCCTCCACGCAGCTGGAGGCCCACGGGAGCCCTCCCCCTCTGTCTGATTACATCAGAGCCATGGGTTAAGAACCCGCCATATGCAGGGCACTGTGCTGGCCCTGTGGTCACAGAGAAGTCGCAGACACTGTTCTCAAGAAGCTGACAACTTAGAGGAGGAGCCAAAATCCCTGAACAAATAAAGAGGGAGGAAGGAAGGTAGGACAGAGGTGGCATCAAGTGGGAAGGCAGCCCTGCGCTGGCTGTGTCTGTGGTCTGTGGGGGCACTGGGAGGCTTCGTCTCTCCTCTTCCTTCGTCTTTCACTTGTGTTCCTTTCTTCCCCCTACGGCAGCCTCTCTCCCTGAAAAGCAGGTACTAAAATGTCCACACCTTCAACCACATCCATCGCAGTTCCACCGCCCCAAATTAAGAGAAATTGAACTGTTCTTGCAAGTTAATCCTAAATTACATTAGGGAACTATTTTTTTTAAAACCACGGCATTTACTCATTACTTTAAACTCCTAATATAATAAGCAGAAGAGACAAAAGGCAAAAGCTTGTCCCCTTTTACCTTTAAGGTAAGGCTAAAAGCCCCCTAACATCTGAATATCTTCACTTCCTGGAAATCTAATTCATTAGACACACACAAAAATCCCACCTTAGTTCCACTGCCTTTCAGAGGTAGTGAAATTTGTTCCCAATGACTCCCTTTCAGGCCTCTGTAAACTCTCCTAATTTGGAAATCCTCCCAGATTTTTCACAGATGACTAGCAAATATTTAAGGCTTTCAAATATTTTAATGATCAGGGATTAAAGATAATTCAGCTTTAATTAAAGCAAAAACCCTTTTACAAAAAAAAAAAAAAAAAAAGAAAGAAAGAAAAGAAAAAGAAAGAGAGAGAAAAGAAAAGGCCTCCCGGCAGCAGCGGGAAGTTTGGTTGGATGTGCACCAAAGAAGCAAAAGTCCGTTTCTTAAACAAATCCACCAAAAGTTTCAACTGCAGGCGCCAGGACCCTTGCAAGAAGGCTGGGTTTGGGTTTCTCGACAGGGTGAGCGCCAGCGACCAGGGTGGCATTTGGGGCCCCAGTGCGGGAGGCTGCCTACATCTCCTCCCTACTCACCGCCTCCCGCCCCAGTCCTGGCTGCGTCTAACGAGCTGTCGCTCTTCGTCTTGCCAGCCCTGTCTTAGTGCGCTCTTTAGGTTCAAAGAGGGAGACCCCCCAAAGGGAGATGCTACTACAAACTGGAACAGACTGTCCCAGGGGCGGTGGTGGGTCACCCACAAGGTCGGTGACGCGCCTCTGAGGCTCTGGGCGAGCTCCGTCGAGGAGGACCAATGGGAAGAGCGCCACAATACATGCGTGGACGCCCGGGGGTTCGGTGAGCACTCGCTGCAGCTTGGGCCTGGGGCCCTCCCCGGGGACCGATCTGGGCGCTTTACCTGGACCCGGACTTCGGGTAGGTTGACTTTGCCGGCCAGCTCCTCGCGGCTGTACACGTCGGGGTAGTGCGACTTCTCGAACGCGCGTTCCAGCTCGTGCAGCTGGTATGTGGTGAAGGTCGTGCGGTTCCGCCGGTGCTTCTTCTTGGGCTCCTCCTCCGACAGCTTCGCGTCCCCGGTGGCGGGACCGACCGGCAGCCCTGGGCTCGGCCGTGCCTCCCCAGGCTCCTTGGGGCAATAGGGTCGAGGGGCTGGGACGAAGAGGCCCCAGACGGTCAGAGACACTCCGGGAGTTATCTCTGGGCCCACTCCGCCTACCCTTGGGCGCCGGCAGCGGGACGCGGGCTCCTCCCGGGCGCGGGACCAGGAGGTCGGGGAAAGGCTGTGAGGGGCCCCTAAGATTTCTCGGAACGCAAATTGGAGCCTCCTGCTCTACACAGCCCGACTCCGCGCCCAAATGCCTTAATAAAGGTTAAGGCAGGGGCTTATTCGTCTTGCGGAGCTCCTAAGTTTGGGCACCCCCTCAGGGCCCCGCAGCAGCCAGGGGTGCACACTCACCTTCGTACTCCGGAGCAGGCGCCGGGGCAGGCTGCGGGGAGGGCTCGCCGCCTCCCCCGGGCGCCTTGGGGCAGGCGGCCCGCGCTCCCGGCCTCCTATCCCGCTCCTTCGCGCCCCGGGCGCCCGGCTCCGCGGAGAAGGAACCGAGGATCGCGTCGTCCTTGGTAAATCCCAGGATAGCCTCGATGCTGTGCAGCCGCGAGGTGCTTCCTCCCGGGCTGCGGAGCAGGTGGCCGGCAAGCGAGAAGCTGCCGTCGGCCATGGCGGGGGCGCAGCCGGGCAGGTGCATGGGGAGCGCCAGGAGGCCGGAGGGCGCGGCCCGCGCTCTCGCAGCGCCGCCTGCCTTGGAGACCGAGAGAAGAGGCTCGAAGTCGGCGCTTCCCGGGTACCGCCGTCCCACCCGCGGCGTCCGGACCCAAGGTCAAGCTTGGCGGGTGACGCGGGCCCGGGCTGCGCGCGCCGGAGGTGGGCGAGCGCTCGGCCCACGGCGGCCTGGGTCGCTGCCGAAGTCTGAAGTTCGGACTCGGGGTAGCTGGGGCTCCGGGGGCTAAAGGCTGCGAGCCCGTTCGCCCCGGCTCCTCCCCTCCTGCCCCGGACCCAGCCTCTTCCCTCGGCCCCTCCCTCGGCAGCGGGGCGGGTCTTTCCCTCAGGGTCCCAGTGCTGCCACTCCGGGCGGGGCCGGCACTGCGAACTTTCCACCTTCCACCTCTCGATCCGCTCCAAACGCTCTAAACACGTCTCGGGGGGAACCGGCGGTGGGATGTTTGACAGACCTGGGGACCCCGCTCTGGGACCCGCTTCCCCCGTCTGGCCTCAATGGGGCCGACGCCCCTGGTCTCACCTTCCCCCAGTACCCCGTGGGTTTGCCTCCCTTCTTGGGCTTCCCCCCCACCCCGCCCCCCCGATCACTCCCGCGACCCCAGAGTCGCCTCCGCCCTCGGGCTCACTTCCTCGGCCGGGCTGAGCGCCCGGGGCGACCTTTGGAAAGACAGAGCGGACGGGCGGCTGCCCTGCTCTACGGCGTAGGACGTCGGGCCACGCACGCTTCTTCCCAGTTTTGAAATTTGCCTTCTCTCTCCCTCTTTTTACCCCCAAGGGCACTCCCCTTTCGGCTCCGTAGTCCGAAGCCTTCGGGTTTATTTTATTTGTCTATATATGTTTAACCGCTCCTTCCTGTCCCCTCGGACTCGCGCGCCCGTAGGCTCGCTCACCCCAGCGCCAGCCCCAGGAGGCGGTGGGGCCATCTGTCCCTGCGCGCCCGGTGACCTCGAGTGCCCGACCGCCCAGCAGGAGGCTGGGAGGCCCCGAGACGGACCTGCTGCCGGGCTCAGGCCCGGCGCGGGTGGGGTAGGGGGAACCCGCCTTCACTCTCGTAGACTGTCCCGCGGGACCCCTCTCCCCGCCAACAGTCTCCAGACCCAGGAGATGTCCCAGCCTCAGGCTGACGGGGCAAGGACCTTCGTCTGGGGTGAAGGCCTCGCACTTCTCTGGGGGGTTATAGGCGTAATCTGCTTGCATTTCTTTGCACTTTGGGAGCCCCACGAGGCTTCCTTGGCCCAGAATGAGAGTCGCAGGCCAGGTGGAATGATGGTTACTGCCGACAAGTGTTTTTTCACGTGTGCGGGTGCTGTGGTCCGCGCTGTGAAGGCTGACACTTCTCAACTTTGATGCCCGACCCGAGGCCACACACCCCCCCCGCCCCCGTCCCTCTTCTCTAAACTATTAGCGGGAAACGTGAACCAAAATGCTTTCCTAAAGGTCTGAGGACCTAGAGATTCCTTTCCTTTTCCCCACTTTTATTGCGATATAATTGACATACAGCGCTGTGTGAGTTGAAGGTGTACAGTGTAATGATTTGGTTTACCTGTATAGTGAAATGATTACCAAGATAAGTTTAGTTAACACCTCATGATCTCATACAGATACAAAATAGAGATTCTTAAAATGTCCTCTGCAGCAGGAGCTCTGATCCCCACACAGGGACGTCTCCCCCACCCCCACCATTAGTTTCTCTCTGTTTGCATTCAGACAAGGGTTTACTGCCTCCCTTCTGAGGGTCCCACACTCAGGTGGGACATGCCAGCACCACAGAAGAAAAGAAAGGCTGGGTGCTTGCCTTGAGAAGTTTAACAGCCAGCCTGGGAGACAAGACAACAGAAGAAACAAGAGAAAAGCACATTATCTTCCAACCCTCACTTCTATTTTTTTTTTTTTAAAGTTTATTTATTTAAGTAATCTCTATACCTAACGTGGGGCTAGAATTCAGGACCTCATGAGATCAAGAGCTGCATGCTTTTCTGACTGAGCCAGCCAGGCACCCCCCAATCCTTTAAATTGGTGTTAGAAGGGCACTCAAAAGGACATGTGACCACATTAAGGATCATGAAATGATTAATTCTCTATGATGGGCATATGCAAGTGGTCATTACACAAATCACTCTATTTTTTAGTAGACCTATAAAAAGGTAAATTAAAATAGCAGGCAGGTGAGTTTGCAGTAGATATTGAGCTACAGGTTCAAGTAAAAATTATGTTTTATTTTAAAGATTTATTTATTTTTATTTGAGAGAGAGAGAGTGGAGGAGGGTCAGGGAGAGAGAGAGAATCTCAAGCAGACTCCTTGCTGAGCAAGGAGCTGGTTGCAGGCTCCATCCCAGGACCCTGAGATCATGACCTGAGCCAAAATCAAGAGTCAAATGCTTAACCGACTGAGCCACCCAGGCGCCCCAGAAGTGACGTTTTATTTTAAGAAAAAGCTACGTTAATGATAATCAATATGCACCTTATAGCTTTCAGAATCCTTTCACATTTTTCCCATCAGAGGATGCTCACAATCCTGTGAGGTGAGCAGGACAAATGCCTTTGTCCCCATTTTATAGAAGAGGACACTGAGGCTGTTAAGGGGAGAGGTCAGGACTAGAACTCAGACCACGGGACTCCTTGTCCAGCGTTTTCTGCCTATGGCTCATTTGTAATAAAGGTTGTAGAGTGGGATGTTTTTGAAAAGAATAAAAGCCCATCTTAGCCTGCAGTCCATCCTTAATCCTTCCCTGAGACTGGCCACTGAATCTAAGAGGCTGAAGTAATGGCAGCTTAGCTTCCCGGAGAAGTGAAGCCAGAGCCCGTAGACAGAGGCCTTTGGGGCGCTGGTGTCCCAGACTAGTGAACAAATCCTTGGGAGGTTCCCATCTCAGTCCAGGCAAAGCCTGTCCCTGGGGCCCTCGGGCTTTCTAGGCTGTGGAAGGCAACTGTCCCTGCAAAGGGTCTGGTGGCACCCCCACAATGTCCCAAATGCCAGTTACATAGACCTGGTGGCTGCCCGAGTGGCTGACTGGTGTTTGTTGTTTTCCCTATGACCAAGAATGCTTTTTATGTAAACTTCCCCAATATTAAATTGATCTCTATAATCACTGCTCAACAAAGATTGGCAGTGTTTTCTTAAGCTTCTGCCCACACGCTAAGGGGCTTAGAGCCTTGTTTTCCAAAGTTAATTCCCTCTGGGATTGCCCAGCTCTCCCTAATAGGTCCAGGTGAGGTTAGCTTTTATTTACTGTTTATTTCAGAGTCTTGAGAGAAAAGCAGAAAAGGCTTCAACAGCCACTGGCGAGGGACTTCGGGGGAAACAGGGCAAAGCAGGACAAGGGGAGGTTGGGGCTTTCTTTGTGCGCGACATAAAGAGCTAGTCAATGGCATTGTGGGCGCGGTGGAGGGTACTCCAAGCAATCAGCCGGGGGTCATTGTTAGGGGCTAATCTACATGTGTATTTCCCAAGAACTCGATTAGGGAAGATGAATGGACTCGGCCATGTCCCTAATTCTAGCATGGAGCTCGCTGCATTTTTCCAGCAGTTACACTGGCTCATAATCAGCCGAACTTCAGCAAAAGTAAGGAGCCTGCCTTCTGAACTCCACCTCTATTTAATTCATTAATTCATTAGGTGGATCAAAGAAAAATCCGTCCTGCCAGCCCCCACATGCGGGCTGAACCTAGACATAGCTAAAGCCCCTTTAAACTTGGCATGGCTCAGAGAAACCTTTCCAGTAGTGAGGAGAGTGGGGGTGGTCGGGGCTTGGGAAGGTCTTTAGAGTGGGAGGTTCCGTGTGACGTGGGAAGGACAATATGGAACAATAATTGAAGTGGGGTGGGGTGAGAGGGGGAGATTTTGAGGAGAAAGGGAATAAGGACAGGCTAGCATGAAGAAAATGAAATCTAAATGTAACCAGCAATTATGGGAAGTTGTAGTGTAAAGTGGCTCTTTTGTCTTGGATGGATGCGGGAGGTCCCATTTCTGGAAGCATTCTAGGTGGACTGCTTCCCCCAGAACCCTCTTGCGGGAAATGGCCCATTGTACGGTGATTTCCCTGTGCGCCGGGTGAGCAGGTGACACGTTCACAAAGTGAGCTAATGGCGTCTGACTGTGGCGTCTAGTAATTTCACCTTGAAGCGGTGTTTGAGGTTTTGGCGAAAAAGGTTTATTTAAGGGCTTATATGATATCACTTCACGTGTGTAAAACCAACTCTATCATCTGCATGTAGATTCTTCCTTCAGTAGATGTATTTTAATCCTGGAATAACTCCTCTTGTCTCACACTCCTCCTATTAGCTCATACATGTTCTTTCAGGGAAATATATAAATAAATTTATCAAATACTAATGCTATGCCAGTGGGCACTCTTCTGAGAGTGAATTTACGTGGATTACCTAATTAGTCCTCACAGTAACCCTGTGAGATAGTCAATATTATCTCCTCTTATAGACGAGGCATCTGAAACACAGATTGAATCACGTGCCAAGGTTTCAGGGTTTGGGGTGGAATCTGGACCTAGGTGTTTTTCAGTAATGTGTCCATCTAACCACTATGTGCACTGCCCCCCAATACGGCGTGTTTACATGATAAGCACTGTGAATCTTCCCGTGACTCTAAGAGAACTAGCAGATGAAATAAGAACATTTGGGAGTCAAAGGATATAGGAATACTATGGAAATCAAGAGTCCGAGGCTTAACTGACTGAACCACCCAGTATATTTTTAAGCATCAGCCCTGTGTCATTTATTCTGTCTTCCTTTGATGCTATGAATTCTCCCCTATACTATACTGTACATTGCATGTCACGTCATGGGCACGATATACAAGATGCTGACCGTTGTAAAAAAAAAAAAAAATCACTAAACTGTCTTTAATTCGGACACAGTGAGTTCAGAGATAAAACACACAGTGCTTGTTTGTCTCTCACTACCAAATCTTCCTAACCAATAAAATATTTTCCTAGTTGAAGCACAGCAGAAGGA